TTTTAAAAGTATTGATGCCAATTAATCTCGCGAAACTTAAAATTATATATTTAATTATTTGCATGAATCGTGTGGCGTCAAATACCTGATATTTTTATATTTCTGAATGATTACTGAAAATGATTGATTATGGACAATAAATGAATAATTACTAAAACTATCGTCAGACAAATGAACTTGTTTTCAGTATATTCGACATTACGATTTATTATCAATGAGATTATGAAAATTTAATATAATACATTTATTATAATCTAAAATCTGCTAAAATAATTTGTTTAATAGATAATTAAAGTGAAAATAAAATAAGTGAAATCGTTAACAATTCTAAAACTCAGACAATTCAAAACTCCAGAGGATTTTCGTATTGTCTCAAGCAAGTTTCTAGTAATGAGCTGCTCTATATTTGTTTGGAATTATGAGAGTTGTTTGTAGTTTAAGACAAAAGAAGAATTTCATTTTAAATAGAAGTATATTAAAAGTTTTGCATATTGTAGCTTTTATAAGATGTAATATTTTTATATACATACCTTCGCATTTCAATATTTAGGTTTTGTAATGGCTTCCTCTCTTGAATCAGAAATTGTCCAATAAAAATGCAATAGATTAGTTTCTGAAAATTATTTAAATTTTTCAGCTCAGAATTTTTTCATTCAGAAAAACATTATCGTTTAATAATTCAACTATGCACATTTCATTCAATTTCATAGTTTTAGTTCAAATGTTTTAACACAAGAAAATGCAGATGATTTTTGCATTTCTTCTGATGAAGTGTTGAAATTTACAGATGAAAAAAAAGGTTAAGAATGAGGCATCACATTGGTGAATGTCACTCGCAGTTTATTCGTTTGTGTAAACTGAACTTTTAATTTATGTAAGCATTCACACAGTATACACTTATAGTAAAATACAAACTAATAAAAATATTCAGGTTTTAATAAATGAAATTCTAAATTACTTTCTTCGTGCGTATCTTATAACACGTTACTTAATTAGTTATTTCAGTTATATAATTGCAACATCGTCCTTCCCTGTTATAATTTTAAACACTTCCATTTGTTTAAGAGAACTGGTCTGCACTTACTGCTTAGTTAATATTATTTGTTATTTTAATATTTGATTGAAAAATATTACATAGGCCTATAAAATATAATTTTTAAACAATATTTTTAAAATTTCGTTAATCAGGAATGTTTTTTATTCATAAACTTAGCAGTATGTAGGCCTACTTGCATATCGTTAACGTGTTAATTCTATTGTATTTGATCATCTTTTGTATTCATTAATTGATTTTTCTGCTCTGGATGTTATATCATAAAGATGATTAATTATCACGATTATTTTAGAATATGGCGGCACTCCGTATTGTTTTTTATTCTAATTTCTGTATTTTATAAAATTTTCAAGTGAAAATAAAATCGATCTTGTTTATTTATTTGAGTCTAAGCAAAATCACGAATCTTCCTAATAGATGTTATGAAATTTTCAATTTCATAAATATTTCAGTAACTTTTATTATACGGTTTGATTACTATGTTACAATTTATATAACTTCTGGATTACAAATATCATCTAATTTCATCAGATAAGTCATGTTAGTTCGTTTAATTAATAGTGACAAAATTTATATGCGATATCTTTTTCTCGCCATTTGTTCCACTTGATGCAATTAATAGAAATTAATACCCATAAAAATAAAGATAAGACCACTAGAAAGATGTACAAGAAGAAATGTATATATATATATATGTATATAATATACATACTGTAGGAATTTAGTACAAAAATAATTAATTATAACTTATTTGAAACCCAGAAGTTTATTTCAAAATATCGCATTAACTATGAATACTGTTGCGTTATATATGTGCTGTATAGGCCATATACACATATATAACACGTTTAGAATATCTGAAAACTCTCACACTATAATTTATCGAAAGTGAATACTGTATTTGCAAGAATAATGCTTTCTTTTTAGAAAATAAGGAATCGTCGGAGAATATATCATCGTATTCTGTGGATAGAGAATGATCACAATTAATCATGGCTGAGGTATTGCTGAATCCTGTCATTGTAATATGTAACTATAAATAAGTCACTAATCACTACAAATCATGTAAGTGTTTTAAATCTGTTTAAATACACTAAAAAATTCATTTACCTGCAAGCCCTGTAAAGATATTTTATTTTTTGAGAATAAATTCATGAAAGCATTCCAGTGGAATGTGTAATCTAAAACACACAAACACAGCATATATATAACTTATACATAGCCTATACAAGTACAGTAGATATATATCTTCCAATTGTCCATTCTATAGGTTTTCAAGGTAAAATTTCAATACTCTAATTGTGCATGAAATTGTGCATAATTAAGTCCCATTCGTAGTCCGGAAATCATGGAAGAGTAGGAACAAAGACGACTTAATTATGAAATAACTTTTAAAGACAAAAAAATTTCTTTATATAAGAATAACAAAATTTTCTCCTTTTTTATTTTCAAATAAAGGTTATCAAAACGTTGCATAAGAATAAACTTTTAATTAAATACATAAGTTAAAGCTAACAATAATAATAACAACACCCAATTGCAAACTTGATACAATTCGAACTTCATTTATCTTATTTTCATAGAAAAAGAAGGGATAAAATTTGTCACTCGTAAGAGCTTTCTCCGGTCTATTCCTTAATTTGCTTTTCTTTTATATTGCCTTAGCTTCTGTCTTTCTCACCTCTAATTTTGAGTACTTTTACTACTTGAACTTCTCGGTTCTCTCTTACCGTATTCATTTATCTCTTTTTTTCCTTCTCTTTACTTCAAATGAGTGTATACTATCCTAGAGATAAGCAAAAAACGTAATTTTTTTTCTACGAATTGTAAATTTGTATTTTAGAAAAGCAAACTGATAAGATAGTTTGATTGGCGCTAATTAATATCTCGATTAGGCCTACATATATAGTATATAGGCTATATATTTCGATTTTCACATCCGATTTTAGTTCTTGCCATTCTTCGGAATTAAAAAGGAAACGACTGATTTAACCTCTATTTTATTTTTGATGTGGAAAATGATTCACAAATTTCCTTGATAAATCAAAATTATTATTTTTTAACTCTTCCTTCCGTGGATCTAAGACTATTTTTTGTTTTTTCTTCATGCTCATTATGGATGCGGCTAAGCTCATAACTGAGGCAGTCGGGTAATGAGAGACAGAGCACGACATCCGGAAATAAAAGAATTCCTGAAGGTTTCCCTCAGAATCGAACTCATTTTCCCCGGAGTTGCATGGTGACGCCTTTATGGCCGTATGTATGTATGTATGTATGTAAATTACGTATATCACTTACAATATCGATTACATTTGATTATAGTTGGATTTTACAACAAAATTTCATAAATATTTTATATTAAATACACACTTATAAAATATATTAAAATTCTAAAAAAATTAGATTTTCTAATGAAAATCACAAATGAAAATTTATTGATTACTTTTAAAGTAAAAATACACATTTGGAGAATGAAATGGTTATCTTAACGTGTTATTTAAATTAGGCCCTTTTTATGCCAAGTTAGATTCCTCGAATTGTCACCGTATATAAATAAAACACGAATTTTAACAGATTTTAATGAGATTGGTTCCAGCTAAAATCTTCTCTTTTCTATATGTATCTTATGTTGTTTACTTTCCAAAAATCATATATGCATTTATTCGCTACTAAAATATAAATTTGTAAGAGTTAACGACAGAAAACCTTGAATGTGGATTTACGGAAACAACTGAATCTTCTGGGTTTGCTCTTTAAAAAGAAATGAGAACAAAACAAATTTAAAGTAAAAAAGAAGAATGTTTGACTTGCTTGATGAGCCTTCTTCTACAGAAAACAGTAGTAATATAGAAAAAATAACTTGATTTTTAATAAAATAGCTCCGTTTCAATTAAAATTCAGTGATGCAGAAAAGGGGTCATTCAAATATGATGTCATTTTTAAGTTCTTTTTGTCTACCTACCTCCTCCCTGTCACATTTTTAGCTATCCCCTTGCTGATATCACGCATGATCTGCCATCCCCCGATCATAAAACCAAACATTTCTGTAAAACAGATCTGCATTACATTAATTTATTCATATTTCTTGCTAGGGCGAGGCTACTTATAAAAATAGGCAATAGAAAAGAATCTGACATTGTAGTAAGTATAATTTCAGCTTATATAAGAAAGATTATAACAGTACTTAACATATAAACAAAATTAACGTTGTAGCAATTTAATTATTACAGTATTTAAAAGCTACGAAAACATTATCCATATTATGATATTATCGGCCACGGATTTGTCAGGAATATGTTGTTGGTAGTATGACACAAACGTAAGGTGTTAGAAAACTCTTGGTTAAATTCAAGAAATATAAAAATTTTTAAATGTTTGCAAAGTGAAAAGCTCAAAACTTTCTAGGGAATAGCTGAATAAATTAACATCTAAGCCAAAAAAGAAAAGGATCTGGAGCCGAGAACTTTTTAAAGAATATTTGGCTCCGGGTCCGGCACAATAAAAAATGTAGAAGGCTCTGACTAGCTCCGGCTCCAAAGCCTTGCTCCGCAGATACCTCTCAATCTTGGCCAGAATTGCATGCGCTCATGTTTTTTAATACAGCATAAAACGGACTCTTTGTTCTTGTGATGCTGTTTCGGAGTCATGGCTGATTCAAGTAAACCATGACGAACTATTGATCCGACTATAATTTATGTAGGTTACCTTTAGTACCTCATTTGTGATAGACTGAAAAATGACTTTCCAACAACCCGGTCGCATCATCACACTCCCAACGTTGTCAAACTCCAATAATTTTAACGATTTAAAATTTATAGAAATTTTTCGATGCAATATTAATGCATGCAATAAACTGCTAAAATTTAGGGCAGATTCGATATAAATACTCACATTTCTTAAAATAAATTTGCCGTTAAGACTTAGCTATTATCACGTAACAATATATAGAGAATGAACATTTATGATGAAATGTGACTTTGCCATTAGTGTTGCAGATTTGCTCGGGAATGAAACCTTTTTGGAAATGAGAGCGCGGTACAGAAATTTCGAAAGGTTTGTAAGGAAAATGAAGATTGTGAAACATTTTAAAATCAATTCAAACCACCATAAATCGAGATCGTTGACTGTCTATACGTCAACAAACTATATAGATCAAATAGGACCTCTTTCTTTTGTCATATTGTTAATTAGGTTGATTAAACAAATCTACCTAGTAAGATATTTATAGAATAAATTAAATCGTGTCATCGTTAATTTTTTTCAATTTTGTCTTTTAGGATTATATAAAATTTTGAAGTGAATCACGAGGATTTTCAATGAAAGACATTTATGGTAATGTACAGAGAATACGTGTTTCGTTACTTCCCATTAAACATATTCGTGTCTGAATATGTTTATTAACATTATATTAATATTTGAAGTGATATATATTCTATGATTGCAGATTATACTCCTATATGATTGTGATTGCCCTCAATCTCTTATTTTCTCCTTGATGTGAGAGTTTTCAGACAATCTTTATATGTAACTTAATAAATACTTAAAAATTACATATAAAATTTAGATATATATTATTGAAAATAGATAAATTTATCTTTTAAACTTATCGCTATTAAAAATCAGCAGTTAAAAAACTATTAACATGAACAAATCCGTTCATATTAATATTTTTATAGAATAAAATTTTTTAATGAAATTTCTTTTTGTTTTATTCTGAACGCATTATGTTACATTATTTTTTGTAAAGAATATTTTAGTTTATCGAATATTTTACCTTTAAAATTTTATTTTGTAAACCAAAGAATTCATTATTTTATTTGAATAGCATCTATAAAATTTTCTCCAGTATAATAAAGTTGTCATAAACGCACATTTTGTTATATAATCCATCTTTTTATTGTAATACTAAAAATATTTTTACAACACAATTATACAATAGTTTTTTTTAGTACATATATTGTGTATTGTTATAAATAAGTATAGAGATATTATATGGACTAGCAATAAATGCCTATTAGCTTAATTCATCAACAAGTAGACATTATTGAATAACTCATCAAGAATTATTGAACTTTTTCATTAAAATGTAATATAATATAACCCTTTTGTTTATATTCATAACTTTCAAATATGTCATCATTTCCATTCTTGCTACTATTTTTTTCTACTTTAAATATTGTTGGGCTGCAAAAAAATTGTAGATCTATAAATTCCCCACTGGCTTTCCTTAATCTCGAGAACGGAGTTAGATACATGAAAGACGAGACCAGATATGAAAACCTTAGGGGCAGGGGTCCCGATTAACTATATACGAACTGCCGAAGCAAACCTAAAGTCACGTTATTTCAATTCAAAACTTTTTCCCTGAAAGGATTTAATAGATGACGGTAGACTCTATTGTTAAATTCTGATGTACAGACGTAAGCTATTACTAATTTGAGGTGGAAAGCATATATTTTAAATTAAATAAATTAAAAATTACAGCCCGGCATTGTGACGTACAATTTTGTTCTTTTAAATTTTACAAAAATTCATCAATATTAGTATTAATTTAGGCTCTAGAAAATACAAATACAAACATTAGGCTAAACCAGTAGGTCTACTCTCCATAAAAATATAACTGATTATATACACAACCGTAAGTATTTATGTTATAATATCAACCAATGGAGGATCCAAAGAAAGAGCTACAGGAACTCAAGTCTTCACAATTGCACGAATTAAATAAATATTTTTTTAATTTTTCAGTTAGCCCTTTTGGATATTTCTGGATACGCTACTGATATCAATTTATAATTATCTGTACAATATATAAATATATTGTTAAGGATATATAATCATAATATAAAAGATTATTTTAAAATTTATATGTATATTTCTATTTAGAATCATTTTTATTGGTTAAGTAATTCTACTTTTAAATCTTTAGACTTAACTTTTCTATTTGTAATTGTATAATAACGTGCAACGAATTAGTAGAATGAGCTTGATTGGAACAAAAATGGTAAGAGAAAGTGATTAAACAGAGTATTCCATTGAGAAATTAGCTAATCAATTGTTTAGTTATCGAACTGAGATCATAACTCATCTCTTACAATTCAGAAATGAGATAACGATTTTGTGGAAAAATTTGCACCTAAACCTGACTGATTATGAGTTAAATAATATTATTTTAGAAAAATAACACTAACTTGATGAACGTTTATTTTAAAAGTATTGATGCCAATTAATCTCGCGAAACTTAAAATTATATATTTAATTATTTGCATGAATCGTGTGGCGTCAAATACCTGATATTTTTATATTTCTGAATGATTACTGAAAATGATTGATTATTGACAATAAATGAATAATTACTAAAACTATCGTCAGACAAATGAACTTGTTTTCAGTATATTCGACATTACGATTTATTATCAATGAGATTATACGATTTTCTTGAGCGAATGTTATTACAAAAATCTCGATAAATAGTATAAAAATCATGTACTGTGTTTTTGTAGATAATTATAAATGATTTTATATAAATAGCTTATAATCAAATTACTAGATAACAGAAAACTTTGATGACAGGCGTGCATTCACTTAATGCAGAGCTTTCCAACTTTTCGCTCCCGTGATATGTGAAATGTTAAAAGTTTTGACCTTCGTTTAAAAAGAAATACATAAAAAAATAGACATTAAATTACAACAAATAAAATATCTGAAATTTTTATTTTTTATTTTAATGAAACACAAGTTGTTAGGATCTCGTTTTTTGAATGAGTTTTAATGAGAAACTTGTGCTATACATACTGTATTATGAAAGCCAGCATATGTTTTGGGTGAATAATGAGGTTTTTATGAATAACGTCAAAGTTGTTTTACAGATTTGAACAACTATTTGCAAGTTTAATGGCCGGATCTTTATAATAGCTGTCATTTTTGTAATCTATCAGGTATTTAAAATCTTGTGAAATAGAGTCTAAAACCAAGATTTCCTGGTGAATAAAACAATGATTTACCATCATCTCATTTTGATTTAGTACAAATGTATATAAACCATTTTTTTCCTTCAGTAATTACTGGAATACATCCGTTTCTTATTTGTCGATGAAAATTCAATTTCACTGTCTTTCTTTTTTTTAATCTCATTTTTTAAACTTCTCGCCCTGCGAGCACTAACAAAGAAACCTTTTCAAAGTGGTGTTGAAACATTTTAAAATACAAATTCATCACAATTTTTAACCATTTAACCAAGAGTCAGCCATTAATGCAGTAAAAGATATCCAGCACATTTTCAAAGGAGTCAAGCGGGTTCAATATATCATAAACATATTTTTTCCATGCTTATCGAATTATATTTTTAATCCGTGATAAATAAAATACTAGTTATAAACATACTAATGCATCCGCATGACGAATCTTCAATCATTCTACTTTAATAGCACACTGTTGTCATATTTTGATTTAATAATCTGTTCGATTCATTAAATGTTAGATTTGTATTATCGAAAGAAGTAACGAAACGTGAGCATTTATTTACAGATTATAACATTTCTGATTAACAATGATTTTGGGCACATGATCAGTAGTTTTCGCCAAAGTGTATGATTTCAATTTTGACAACAGCCTGAATTCGAAAGAAGACAAATTATAAGTTTTTCGTGCCATTCAATGTTACTGTACGATGTAGGTTTTCTTTTCTTTCAGAACAATATTGAAATAGAAAACAAGTCAACGTGTGTGGATTCAGCATATTATATAGTTACTGCACGCAAACAACATACCTGTGTTCGAGCGTTAGGCTTAATTACAATACGGATTTTCCTTATTCTTCACCATTTTATCTATTAGTTTTACTTCAATAAATTATTTATTTATATTTTCTGTAACAAATGCAGTCTTCTAAATGCCTGTCTTCTATAATAAATAATGATACAGAAACGGATCTATTTACTAAATATTCTCCTGCATTTTCAGTTTCAATTTATCTTTCGTAAATTATACATTTATCCAAGGTAAGATTTACTAACTAAAAAAATAGAAAAGAAATTAATTTTAGTGGAAAAAAAACAATTTTCTGAACGTGTTTTTTAATTTTAGTGCTTGTAATTTTTGCCGGATGACCGTAATTAAAGTATTCCTATTTAATGTTGTCTAGAGAGATATTTAGTTGTTCAAATGTAAGAAAATATGGTATGGTGAGTTTTAGGACATGTAAAAGACATTTCCATGCAGAAATAGTAGTAGCAAAACTCACCACTATGGCATTTTTGGTGCTGCAAGAAACATACGTTTTATTTGTACAAGACACTCACTTGCTGTGCAGAGACCTTGGGGATGCAGGAAATACTGTTCAATGCGGTCTCCATTTTGAATGTGTAAAATCTGAAGGCGATGAATAGTGTATCAATGGCTATCGTAAATGATCCTATGTGATGCTTCTCACATGTAATGAGATACTATCTTTCAAGACGTCCAAATTTGCAACATTTCTTCAATTCGCAACGCTTTTTCAGTGTCCTCGTAAGCGAAAAACAACGAATGATGATCCGGAGAACGAGATGGCCAGGTTATAGAAAACACACGCCTAATCCCTTTGTTATTAGTAAAATGTCGCAATATGCAGTGTCCGATATGTGGAGGCGTTCCATCTTGCATGAAAATATTTAACACACATTATCGCTGTTACTGTTGGGTTGCAGCAAAAGCGTTGAGCATCTCTTAGTATCTCTGGGCCGTCACAGAGCAAGTCACAGGCCCATTGGGACTAATTTCTTTGAAGATTAAGGTTCCAAAGGTAAATGTTGCTGTAAATCTTCACAACATTAAAACTTTAGGCAACTGAAAGTGAAATTTGCTAAATGCGACATTTATGGGTAAACACCCATAAATATCGCATTTAGCAAATGTTTCAATAAGCTAAAAATGTACTTCGTCACTCCATAACATCTTCCATAGCCATGATACATTCACTTTCATTATGGCAAGGAAGATCAATGCAAAAGTCAGTCAGCTTTCCCTGTCGCCGGCAAGCAACTTGTGACTGATCTTATATGGATAACAATACTCCAACTTGCTCAATGCCCTCCACACTGTACCATAAGATACACTCAACTGCTGTAAAATTGTATCTACCGGAGTCTGCAACATCATTCATTGACTATTCAACATCAACTCTAGTAACATCTGCAAAAACTTGTGTAGTGATATCAATAGATTTACTCCCTAGACCTGGTTGAACTCTCAATTTCCAGTTTTCTCGAATCGAATAATTATTTTACTGAGAACTTGCGGATTCAATGGTCCTTGGCGTAAATTTTTATGATGACAAAATTCTCGAAGTGCAACCTCAGCATTTCCGTTCTTGTCAGCTTTTCAAGAAATACGCGTTCCGGAAAGATGATGGCCATCGTAGCTAAATTATTGAATGCCATTCGATGCTGACCATCGAATGACATTCAATAGTTGTGGTCTCTTTTATACACAGAATTTGGCTGCAACACGTGCGCTTATACAAAGAAAACTGCATTTTCGTTGCCTGCAGCACCAAAAGTGCTGTGCAGGAGAGTTTCGGTATTAATTTTTTACGGAAATGTCTTCCGCATGTTTTGAAATATCATTATATCAGGGACCGT